CCTGACTGGGCCCTTAAGAGATATTTTGGTTTTGTCAGGTGTCAGAATACCAACTGTAAGGACACTGAAATTCCCCATGTCCTTGACATGTCCACTGGAGTCACATTGTGGCCACCTTCTCTGTTCATTTATTTGTTTGTGTATGTGTGTTTTATCTGCTTGTATGTCTGTGTAGCAGGTGCATGCAGTACCAGGGGAGGCCAGAAGAGGGTGTTGGATCCCCAGGGCTGGAGTTACAGACTGTTGTAAGCCTCCTTGTTGGTGCTGGGAATCAAACCTAGGTCTTCTGCAAGAGCACAAACGCTCTTAACCTCTGAGCCATCTCTCCAGCCACCACCTTCTCTTTCCAGATCTCTAGATCACAGATCCTCTCCTCCTCTGAGCTGTTGCTACATTCTTGACCTGGTGTGGCTCTTCACGTTTCCCTCTGATGACTCTGAGTGGTGATTCGGTATGCCGTGTGTTTGTCAATCATCTGATGAGATCTTCTGGCCTCCTGACCATCCTGACACTTTTGTGGGGAAGGTCCCTGGGAATGGTGGTAGCCTTCCTTCCTGCTGGGCTGATATCTTCCTCTACCCCCCATTAGACCCCAGAGTTCTCTGTGCACAGTCCCTGAGGCTTGCCGTGGATTCATGCATTTGTTTATCTGAAGCGGTAGATGATGGCTCTGAATTTCAGCTCTGTAGCCAGCCTCCCGGCATTCATAATGTCAGCTCCATCTTCCCACTGGCTGACCTTAAGCATACGTCTAGCTTCTGTCTGCTTCTATTCACTCCTCTGTGAAATGGGGGCGAGACTACTAAGCACCCCGAGGGCTGTTATGAGGATTAAAGACTTTGCTATGTAAAGCCTCTACAGTAGGGCCTCGTCTGCAGCAAGTCCGTTTCGGGATTTGCTGTTATTATTTGTTTCCATTTGGTCTGAATATCCAGACTGCTACGGGTCCTAGGGATGACAGATGGGGTCCCTGTCCTCACAGAGCTTATGCTCTGGGAGGGAGACAGACAAGCAGGCTAGTGGCCACAACACATGTTAAATGCTATGATCAGGGAAGACCGGTACCCTGGGGACATTCGGAAGGGGCACCTGCCTCCCTCACCCTGTGAGTCACACCGTGCGGTGGCTGCTGAATTCTCACCCCAGGCCTCGTGGCCGTTTGAACGTCTGTCTGCTCCTTCTCCCAAGGAGGTTAAAGCTAGTTTTTCTTTTCAGGACCAATGCCAGACTTGGTTTCACAGAAGCTGGGAACTAGCCCTTCTGGGTCATTCTGGAAGGTTGAGGAAAGGTATGGAAATGTATGGAAACACCTAGTTTGACGTGGAGGCTATTGGCCAAAATTGGGAGATCCACTGGAGATAGAGGCTGGCAGTTATTTCTCTCTAGAAGCTTGCCTCCAGGAAGCACTGTCAATCCACTGTTTCCTCTTCAACCCAGTGAGAGGAGAGTCTCCTTCCAGGGCAGGATCTCCATTGTAGAGGCAGCCCGCGCTTCTGTGACTGTACAGGATCTCCATTGTAGAGGCAGCCCGCGCTTCTGTGTGGCTGTGAGGACTGTAGCCGGGTCCTCTCAGCATACATGGCCTGGGCTCCCACGGCTTTCTTCAGGCGCCAGCGTCTGGTGCTCCTCTTGTTCACAGCTCTAGCCTATCTCTCCACTCCTCTCCCAATTGCCCAGAAAGCATAGATCCGCCTGTCTTCTCTTCTGCTCCCTCCTGACATCCAGGAGGCGATGCTGCCCTGGCCTCTGGCATATTGAAACCTGCCTGAGAAGGTGTTCCCCTTCTCACCTCCCCTTCCTCCTCTTCTTGCTTTCCTCTCCTTTCTCTGTCTGTCTGTCTGGCCTCTGTGGCAGAAGTCTGCCATCGACCCTGACTCAGTTCCCGGCAGCCTTCTTACCTCCCTGCGCTGTGCTTTTCTGCTCTGGAAAATGGGGACAAAAGCCTTCCTGACATTTACTGTTGTGATAACCAGACAGGACAGCGTGGCCCAGTGTCCTCCCTAACTTGGCGTCACTCCTCAGCCCCTGGCACGTACTCTGTGTTATTCTTTCCCACCTTCTGCTCTTCGTAATGTCTGCTGCCTGCCTTCAATCCGCCAGCCTTCCGCCTTTCTCCTGACAGTGTCCTCTCATTCTCCCTCCCTTCTGTCCTCAGCACATACCATCAGGCCCCGGGGCCAGGGACGTGTATGTCCCCAGCCTCACTCCCAGCCTTCTGTCTCCCTCTCAGTGTTTCAGAATCCACACTTAGCAGTCTGAGGGATGTCCTAGTCCAGACCTTCAGCCCCTTCAGTGAAACTTCAGAGAAGATGGGTCTTGTCATTAAATATTAAAACCTCAACTTTTATTTTTAGTAGTGAGGAAAACATTAAGCTTTACTGGTTAGTGTATGTCCACACTTGATCTCTCCAGATGTCAGACGGTCACATGTCATGCTTGGCATGCAACATGTCCTGGGGTCGGGTTTCCAGGCAACTGGCACCTCCATGTGTTTGACTTGGTCATGTTGCGATTACTGTGGTTCTTATTGCTCTGCTTCCTGGACTTCCTTGCCTGGCATTAACTAAATCAGTCCTGACAGAGCAGAGGAATGACTCCAGAAAACCCCTGCTAAGACCCTGTGGTCCCAAGAAACTGCTAATGACATAATCATAAGCAACCACGAGAGGCACAGCATCAACACTTCTTATAATGACCTGTCATCAGCCAGAGCACAAAGTGGAAAAAATAGCCTACCGCATATGACCTGACTATGTAAGATGCAAAATTCTATCTGCTGCCATTGGTAACAAACCTTACCCTAAGTGCCCCCAAGAAGTGGCTAATAAGTAAAAGCTGTGAACTTAGAAAAACATCTGTAGGCTGGGGACGGTAGCACACACCTGGATTCCTAGCACTTGGGAGACTGAAGCAGGTGGGGGTAGTGAGTTTGTGTCTGTTCTGCACTACACAGCGAGAGGCAGTCTAAAAAAAAAAAAAAAATCAAAGGGATGGGGCAAGAGGAATTGGGATTTAGTTTAGTGGAAATACAAGGCCCTGAGTTCTGTCTTCAGTACTGAAAACAAAACACATGTAAGCACCAAGACTCTCAGACTTGGCTGTACAACTGAAATTATCAGTCTTCTTCCTCTTCCTCCTCCTTGAAAGAGAGAGGGGGGCAGTCTCACTGTGTAGGCCAGAGGGGTCTTGAAATCACAGCGATCTGCCTGCCTCTGTCTCCTGGTTAAGGTGTGAACCACCATGCCCTGCAAAATTGCATTAATTTTTAAATACGTTGTTTTATCTTTAAGTGTGTCTCTGTGCCTCTATGTGTCGGTATGTGCACCCGGGTGACCTGTAGAGGCCACTAGAGGGCGTCGGGTCCCCTGGAGCAAGAGTGTCAATTCTCTCCTTCCATCATGTGACTCCTCAGGATTGAATTCAGGTTGTCAGGCTTGGCGGCAAGTGGTGCTTAGCTTAGGAATCATGCACTCGGGCTCTCCCCCCCTCCGCCCTCCTCCCTCATCGATGCTGGGGCACACTCACTGGACTGCCACTCTAAAGCAATGTAGATGTTTTTCCTTTTCCTATTTGGTATCAAAAGGGGCTTTTTGTCTCTGTGACACAAAAGGGATGTTGTGGAGTCAGTAGGATGTGCGTTAGCATCAAAATTCCGATATCACTTCCTTGTTGGCCATTCTGCATTCAGATGCCTCCTGTGTGTCTATGATGGTTTCCGAATAGAAGAGCTCATAAAACCAACAAAGCATGTTTGACCATGTTATATTGCCAAATGTGGTAGACTGAAGACTGTATACAATGGCATAGCTGTGTAGGTGGTATAAACTCAGATGAGAAATGATTTTTTTCAGTATTTAAAAAAACCAATTATTTTTGTTGTATGACATGGGCGGGGTCTTATGCTCGGTCTCAGGCTGGCCTTGAACTTGGGGTGATCCTGTTACTTCAGCCTTCTGGGTGCTGGGATTATGGGTAAAAAGCATCACTTCAGTTTCTAAAAATATTTTCTTACTGAAATATATATATATGTATATATATATACATATATATTACACAACATGATAGTTTGAAATGAGAATACATTGTACAATAATTAACCTCAAAGAACAAGGTGGAAGCAATTAAAGAAGACAGTCAGCATTGACTTCTGTCCTATGCATGCACCTACATGGACACACACCTCCATGCATCACACCCACAAAACATATACATATGCCACACACACATATGCACAGACACAAAGTATGTGTATTGCTTTGCACTGATATGCATGCCAATCGGCTCAATTATTTTTGTGTTTATTTGAGGGAAGGGTGAGACTGTTTAAAATCTCTCAGTGATTTTCAAATATGTAATGCCTTATTAGTAATAGTTGCTATGTTGGACAATAGGTCGTTTGAACTTATTCCTCCCTTCTGAAATTTATAACTTTAGTTTTTTTTTCATGTATTTGTTTGTTTTGTATGTGTTCGTGCTCATGTATGGTGCGTATGTGTGGTGTGTACATGCCACGGGATGTGGGCGTGGTGGTCAGAGGATGACTGTGGGAGTTGCTTCTCCCGTTCCAACACGTGGGTTCCGGGACTTGAACTCAGGTCATCAGACTTGGCAGCAAGCACCTTCACCTGCTAAGTCATCTGACCTGCCTTGAAATTCACAACCTTAGACTCCCAACTCCCAAACCACTCCCGACTCCAACACAGCTCCCCATAACCGCCATTTCCCGCTTCGGTTCTGTGGGTTTGCCTCTCTCAGATTCCACACAGATATGAGATCAGGCTGTGTTTGTCTTTCTGTGCCTCATTCATTTCACTTGATATGGTCTTCAGAAAAGCACGACAAGCCTTGACGATCCCAGCGAGAGCAAGGTGGAACAGCTGCCCAGGGAGATATTTGTAGGAACTCAGGCTACTTAGCTCATGGGACATCCAGACTGTGACCACTAGGTAGATGAGCTCAAAGGCCCTCCCGTGACATCTGTCTCTATCTTCATCCCTCAGCCTTCCCAGTAATAGAAAATGGCCAGCTGGAGTGTCCCCAAGGGTACAAGAGACTGAACCTCAGCCACTGCCAAGGTAAGGATGACTCCAGGGTTGAAGCCGGGGCAGTGGAGGGGCATGATTTCGTCTGCTAATACTGAGGCAACATGCACCCCAGAAAGGATGAACACCTGTCACTGCCTAGGAGGCCTCTATTGTACACCTTTAAGCCCCAGTTTCAGGAGCTGTGGGAGGGGCTGTTCCTAGGGATTTTAGAACATCGGGACTAACGTGAGGGTGCTGAGAGATCCAGGGTGCTGGGGCCACTCATCCTGACCCACGTCTATTTGAACCATGGCCAGAAACCCTACACATCCACTCTTAGGCTGGTCTCCGGGGAACAGGAGACATTTCCACCAAAGTGGAGCTAAAATCACAATGAAGTGATGGAGAACAAGAGACCGGGGCCAGGGTGTGTATTTGTGTACACAAGCTGGGTGCCACATCCAGTCTGAACTAGTTGCCAAGTACACAGGATGGGGAAGGCCCAGTTCCATGACCAGGAAAACACATACACCTAGTTAAATACAACCAGAGAAGGTTTTTGATGGGTGGCATGGGATCCTCTGGTAGAATCCAATCCAGGCTGGGAGGACCAGGGAAGGCTTCCTAGCAGAGGTAATAGGTTTATGTTCACTAGAGGTAAACATAAATTGCCCAGCTGAAGCAGGTGCAGATCTTCCAGGCAGGAAGATAAGCAAAGGGGTATTTGGGCTGACTAAGGCATCTGAGGGACACTGGGCAAACAGCCTATACACACACACAAGGTGACCACCATGTCTCGTGAGAAACACCTGCTCACCCACAGGCTTAGGGAGGGTCTTGGGTACCGTGTCCTGCTTTAGGGCTCCCTGGAGGAGGTGATGAGGAACCCTGAAACTTCTGAAGCACAGGGGAGGCAAATCAGCTTGTGTTCAGATATGTCTGGCCACAATCTGGAAGTATATGGGCTGGCTCTCCCCACCTCCCATGACATCACTCAAGTGCCTCTGCTGCCATGGGGCATCCTACCAAGGATGTCCTCTTGGTGGCCATCTTTTGTGGCCTCATCTTATGCTAATGTCCTCAAGGTCTGAAGATGAGCAGGTAGTTCTGATGGCATTGGGCTACCTAAATTAGGTCCTGCTCTGGAAGCGGGTGCTCTTCACAAGCGCTTCATGTTCAGCATCAGTGTGGCCATCACATTGTAGCTTTGTGCCTTTCCTGGAACTCGCTTTGGATACCAGGCTGGCCTCGAACTCACAGAGATCCGCCTGGCTCTGCCTCCCGAGTGCTGGGATTAAAGGCGTGCACCACCACCGCCCGCCCGGCGCAATTTTTCTATTCAATTATTCTATCAGCATTGTTGGGCGGTTGCTATCATGATCCATGTTTCGCGAGTGAGAAAACCAAGGCACACAGAGAGATCCCACACTGAACAAGGGATGGCAGCCCCCTCCCCACCATCTGGCCTCAGTCGGATGGATATTCCTCCACCCCCGCAGATATCAATGAGTGCCTGACCCTGGGCTTGTGCCAGGACTCGGAGTGTGTGAACACCAGGGGCAGCTACCTGTGTACCTGCAGGCCTGGCCTGATGCTGGATCCGTCGAGGAGCCGCTGTGTATGTGAGTGATGGTGGGCCCAGGGGTGAGAGACGCCCTCCAGGGGCACAGTCCAGACCCAGAGTGGCAAATTCCCCAGAACCTCATGGCCTCGTGCCCAGAGCCAGTCTGCTATCAGCCTGGAGTTGGGCCAGGCTACAAAACTGACGTGTGTTCTGTGGGCGCTGGAGGTTACTGCCTCACGTCTACTCCTGGCTTTTCTTCGAGAACTTTTTCAGGATTCGTGTTTTCTGTTTCGTTTTTCCTCTCTCATCATTTCATCCTTTTTGCTGTCCCATTGTCTTTGAAGGTGTCTGTTGCCTCTTTGAAATGTCTGACTTGCGGGTTGGGGATTTAGCTCAGTGGTAGAGCGCTTGCCTAGCAAGCACAAGGCCCTGGGTTCGATCCTCAACCCCAAAAAGAAAAAGGAAAAAAAATGCCTGGCTAAGCCATAGCTGCTATTAACCTATTACCCAAGCGTAGCAACACAGCTGGTCACATGACTGCTAGGTGCTTTTTTTTTTCATGTGCATGGGTGTTTTGCTGGCACATGTGTCTGTACACTATGTGTATGTGCCTGGTGTCTGCAGAGGCATTTGTTCCCCTGAAACTGGAGTTACAGATGCTTGTGAGCTGCCATGTGGGTGCGGGGATTCAAACCCGGGTCCTCTGGAAGAGCAGCCCGTGCTCTTAACCACTGAGCCATCTCTCCAGCCCCTACGTGATATTTTTATGTCCGTGGTAGAGTGGTGTTACTGCTGTATTCCAGCACCCTTACGTTACTCCATGGTCCTTTTTGCATGCATCTCCACAGCCACGAACACGTACATGAGTTGTGGCCTTGCGTTGTGGATGGATGCGTGTATATTCCCACATAAACCCTGGTGGCTCCGTTTCCAGTGACCTCTGTAGTTTCCAGCTGAGAGGGGGCCCAGGCTGGCAGGCCCTTCCTCACCCCCAAGACAGTAGAGCTGACACCACAGCTCATATGAGGCTTTTCTTGGGAAGGAAGGCCTGAGCACCCTAAAGGCCTCAGGCACAAGGCCACCTCTAGCTCACAGAGCTCTCTGGCTGCCAGGCCAAGTGTCTGCTCCTGGGTCTGGGAAGGCTATAGGAGGAACAAAACTCTGCTGCCACCCAGAGGTAGTGGCCTGTAGAAAGGGTGTCTGGACCTGACATCTCTTGGGACAGGAGACAGTGAGAGCCCAGGAAAGAATGGAACCAGGATAGGAGAACACGGTCTGCTTGTGGTGGCAATAATATGTCATCAAGACCCCAAGAACCACCGGGCGGTGGTGGCGCACGCCTTTAATCCCAGCACTCGGGAGGCAGAGCCAGGCGGTTCTGTGAGTTGGAGACCAGCCTGATCTACAGAGGGAGATCCAGGACAGGCACCAAAACTACACAGAGAAACCCTGTCTCGAAAAACTAAAAAAAAAAAAACAAGGACCTTACAGTCTTCTTTTTCCAGATCACTTAAGGTTCCTTTATCAGCCTGGGCATGGTGGTACATGCCTTTAACCCCAACATTCTGAAGGCAGATATCTAAGGCCCCATAACAAAACCCTGTCTTGAAACAAAAACAAAAACATAACAAAACAAAACAAAGCATTCTTTTTTTGTTCGTTCGTTTGTTTGTTTTTGTTTTTTCGAGACAGGGTTTCTCTGTGTAGCTTTGGAGCCTGTCCTGGATCTCGCTCTGCAGACCAGGCTGGCCTCGAACTCACAGAGATCCGCCTGCCTCTGCCTCCTGAGTGCTGGGATTACAGGCGTGCACCACCACCGCCCGGCCAAAGCATTCTTTATCAGAGTGCTTAACACCCAACATGTCTGAATGCCAGGAAGCCACCCCAATACAACAATATGGAGAGGCAGGGGGACCCTGTCCTTATTTTCTCTCCCTCCCCAAGCTTCCTCCCTCCAGCTTCCTCCAAGGAGTCATCCTCCCCACCCCGCTGGTGGAGAAGGCAAGCTGGTGACTTCCTGCCACCTGAGTAGGACAGTAAACCCATCTCGGGCCTCTGGTCCAGCTTCCTTATATTCCACCTTGGGATTCAGAGGGATAGAGCCTGTCCCCACAGGAGCCCAAGGGAAGGGACCACTGAGGGCAGAGGCTGCACCTGAGGATGCAGGGCTCAGAGACCGATGGATGGGTGTGCAAACCTGACCTTTGCCAGGCTGTGCTTGCATGCCTTGCTGTGTTTCATCCCCATGACCCTGTGAAGAAGCCGTCTTTAGCCGGGGTCAACACTGCTTTAACTGGGAAACGAGGGGCCGGGGGAACATGTGACCTTGTCGGTTGGATCCGGGTCCCCACGATGCCCTCGGGAGTTTTGTCTCGCTGTTTCCTGTGTTGGTTTCCCAGCTCCTTCAGTGGTGGCCTCTCCGTGTGCTCTAGGCTCTCGGCCTTAGACTCTCGGTCTGAACACGGGCACCCGTTTTCTGATAACTCAAGAAAAGTCCCAAGCTGAGCAGTAGAGGGCCTACTTTCTCAAGTGCCTGTCCCTGTCCCAGTCACTGTGACCAGGGATATGAACTTCAGCCCTTCCATCGGGAAGTAGCCCGAGGGAGGGGGGTGAGGGGCATCTGTGGAGAACGAGTCCTTCTCTATAGCGTTGGCACACATGCCAGGTCAGCCCGAGTGCTCACAGTCCATGGCACACCTCCATCATTACTCTCCACACAAAGAAGCTGAGGCCCAGGGTGATGTGTGGCTCGGCAGGTAGCAGATAATGGAACTGGCCGGGATGCCTCAGAATCGTGACTTCTCAACGTTGGCTGCTGTTCTCCTCACTCCTCTGTCCTCTGTCTGTCTGGTTTGCCCTCTAAAGATTTAAGTCTCTTTCAATCTGGTTGGCCATGTCTTTTCCTACTGAGATAATAAGCAGGAGGCTATTTTTAAATACCCACTTTCTTTTAGCTCCACACGATTCATAGTTTCAGTGGTTGTTTTTGTTTTTTTTGTTTGATTGGTTGGTTGGTTTGGTTTTTGTCTTGGGTATATGTGTGTCTGTGTAGTGCTGGCACTGAAATCCAGGGCTTTAGACATGCTAAGCAAGGGCTCTCACACTGAGCTACACACCCTGATTCAGTACTCAGTTGATTAATTAAATGAGCCATCCATGCACCCATTCAACATGCATTATTAAACAACCACATACATCGGACACATAGATGGCTCCGAGTGACCAAGATGACCCAGGCAAGGTCCCTGTCCTCGAAGCTCTCTGGCAAGCCTTGGGTACTCACCTCGTCTCATCTTCCCAGAGAGGCTCTCTGTGGACCTCAGGGCACACTGCCCTCTACTCATCCTGAGCCTTTAGTAAACACTCTACAGGCAGCAGGTGGAACCAAACAACTCTGTTCCCAGGTCCTGCTTCTCACATAAGGGTGGGAAGCGAGGGTCCAGTCAGGAGATGTGGGAGCAGTCCACTGCGGCCATTCCTCCCAAAGTTCTTGCGAGCGTCGGAACTCCCAGAGTGAGACATGAGCCAGGCTAGTCTCGGTGCCTGCGGCCGACCACACCTCTGCCCGCTGCCTTCTGTGCTTTTTCCTCCCACTAGCCACCTGCCCGTTCCCACATGCCCTGTCTCTTGCAGCGGACAAGGCAGTCTCCATGCACCAGGGACTGTGCTACCGGTCGCTGGGGTCTGGCACCTGCACCCTGCCTTTGATACAACGGATCACCAAGCAGATATGTTGCTGTAGCCGTGTGGGCAAAGCCTGGGGCAGCAAGTGTGAAAAGTGTCCCCTGCCTGGCACAGGTAACCTCATCCTCACCCCAGACGTGGCCACCAGGATACCTCCTCAAAGCCAGTGCCCAGCCACTTCCTCAGCCTGGGTAGAGCCCTTCAAGCCAGAACTCTGGGACTCTCCTTGCAGCCACAATTGTCTTGTCCCCTTGAGGGAAGGAGGGGAGAGGGGGCCCTGGCTTCTTGCAGGAACGGCATGGCTCAGTTCATCCTCTGTCGGTCTTTCAGAGGCCTTCAGGGAGATCTGCCCTGCTGGCCATGGTTACACCTACTCAAGCTCAGACATCCGCCTGTCCATGAGGAAAGCCGTGGAAGAGGAACTGGCTAGCCCCTTCAGGGAACAGACACAGAAGATCAGTGGACCTCTGCCTGGGGCAGCAGAGAGGCAACCACTCCGGGCAGTCACCGACACGTGGATTGAGGCTGAGACCTTCCCTGACAAAGGTATCTGAGCTGGGGGTGACACCTAAGGATCCTCCTTTTCCTTACAGTTCCCTGCCCGGGCCTTAGGTTCAGAACAGTAACTTCAGCACAGATGCCTGGGGCTCAGGATGTGTCAGCCAGGAAGAGCTTGAGTTCTCCAGCTAGTGCTCTGGAAACCACGGGGCCATGCCCAGGTCACCCAGTACAGAAGGCCAGGAAGCTGTTAGGACCAAGAAAACTCAGAGATCACCAGAATTACTCCAAGAATCTGGGACAGAGAAGGGAGAACAGAACTCAGTGGCCATAGACGTGGGACACTAGCCCAATCAGAGGCAACTCATCCTTTTCCTAGAAGTTCTCCCTTAGCCCATGGCCCAGAGCAGGGAGAATGGAGAGTAACCCACGTGATCAGGACCACAGGAAGGAGGAGGTCTGTTATGGGTCTAATGAGGCTGTCTGAGGGGGACTTCTGTCCCTGGAGACCTGGAAGGAATCCAGGAGACTTCCTTTCTCCAACTGACAGGTGAGCTAGGCTACCTGTATGCTCTCTAGCCTTGGATCTCTGGGGTGGCCAGCCCCAAAAGGGAGTTGAAAGGCTGAGGCAGATAAAAAGAGTTGCACTCTGTGTTGCTCATCTCTCTGGGGATGCAGGGTGGAGTGTAGACTGTGAAACAGCCAGGCTGTGAGCGGAGGGGCAGAAGGTCACTGCCTCCCCTCCTGGAGCTCACACTGTATCATCTTCTTTTCCCAGGTGACTCTCGGGCTCTTCAGGTGAGTGGGTCTTCCTGCCAGGGGGTTGGATTAGGGTGATGTAGAGAATGACATAGACCCCAGGGAATAGTCTCAGGAGAGCAGAAAAGAAGGGTGGAGCATATATCGGATTTCACTGGGAGAGATCACAAAGTTGAGCAAGGACCTATTCGACTGTGGAGTTAGTCTTGACGGCTGCTCAAGCTCGAGGCTGTGCGTGACACCTAGAACTGGTCCTGAGTCTGGCATGTTCTCCGAGCTTGTTTAATACATACCCTCTGTGAAGAGCTCATGGGAAAGCATGAATACCTCAAACCATTTCACTGAGGAAAGAGCGTTTGGCCTCCTTCCCTGGGCCCAGAATGCCCCTGTGCATCAAAGACTGAGCATCTCTGAAGCCCCTAGAGGAGTGAATATGCTTTCTGCTTCTCCAGTCCTTGACCAGGCTGTTGGTTCCTGCTCATCTCCTGATGATGATGAGCTAACCTGTCTCCATGCCCCGTTTCTCCAGCAGCCTTGATTTCCAGCTTAAGAACCATGTGCTGAAGCCAGGCATGGTGACACACACCTTTAATCCCAGCACTTGGGAGGCAGAGGCAGGTGGATTTCTGAGTTAGAGGCCAGCCTGGTCTACAGAGCAAGTTCCAGGACAGCCAGGGCTACACAGAGAAACCCCGTCTCAAAAACAAAAACAAAAAACCACATGCTGTCCTCTCAGATCAAAGCTTTCCCTCCACGTCCTCACAGTCCCAGCAATGTCCCAGTGTCTTTCTGTCCTCTGCTGCTCTGTGCTTCCCTGTGCCCCCATCTGTCTCTGCCCATAGCTGTGGTGAGGGACACCAAGTGTGGCTATGACTCCTGGCTTTGCCACACTGGCCTTGTGGCCCTGGATGATCTAATTAATGTGTTACTTCATCTATGACGCGAGGATCGTAGCTCTGATAAGTTCTATTGTTCTGCTGTGTGGCCAGCACTGAGCTGAAAGAGAACACATAATTAATAGCTACAACTGATAAGGAAGTGGAGCTGGTCAGTTGAGAGTGTGGGTAGAAAAATGCCTAGAGAATACACACCAGCAGTAAAAACTCACTAACTGAGAGGGCTGGACAGGAAGGAGGTGGGGTAAGTGAAGGAGAAAGAAACATGTCCTGGGAGTAAAAGACGCACCCCCTAAATAACCTCCATTTGTGCGCAGATCACAACCAGTGTTCCCCACCTACCTGCCCGGATACCAGGTGAGTTCCTCCTAGAAGGAGAAGAGAAGGGAGAGGGAGAGAGACCTTAGTTTTAGTGGTGGAATGACTCCCCATGAACTGACCGGTGGGGTTCAAACTAGAAGCGGTGAGTGATATGGCATATGAGCACTCTTTCCGGGAACTCTGAGTCCCTAAGGGACTGTGCGGTTAGTAAGAGATCCCATGATTTCTCGCAAATCTTTTCCTACCCACCAAACTCTTTCTTAATCTCATGATGCCACTCAGCACATACATCAGGCCAAAAAGGAGGCCCTAGCTGATGTAGCAGCCTGGTGGGGCCCCAGAGCTCTTTCCTCCAGGGGCCTCATCTTACCTCCTGACCCTGAGCTGACCTCTCACCAGAGCTGGCCTCAGCGTCAAGGGTGCCCAGTTTTCCCTGCCGTGGTGTGGGCATAACACCTGCTGCCTCCCACGGGAACTGGGTGCTTGTACTTGCAGTACCATTTTGTAAACTGCAAGACGCATTACATGTGAAAACAGAATGTTCCATTGGGCATCGGGGGATGGGGTGGCATTTCTGCCACCAGCGAGCTGTCCAGCCTCAGACAAGCAGCCATTTCTGCACTCCTCAGGTTCTTTGACTACAAGGAGGAGGAGGACCAGATATGCCAAAAGAGAGGGTAGACGGTGGGAGCCCTAGGTGCCACTTTGGGTTCTTGGGACTCTGAACATCAGAGAACACAGAAGGGCCACTGCTAGCCAATGGGCTCCACTTCCTCCCCTCTGTCCTCTCCAGGGGATGCCACCAGCAGACCGACACCATCATTGCCTGGACAGGGCATTCCAGAGAGTCCAGAGGAAGAGAAAGTGACTCCCTCCAGTGATGTCCTGGTGACACAGAGTCCCCCAGGTAGCTGCAGTAGCCCTTGGAGGCTCTTCGCCCCCACCTGTGGGAGATGTGGTTGCCCAGAGCCGAACTGCAGGGCAGGACTGTGAATGGAGTTTCTCTCTTGCCTCTTCCACTGCGTGAATAGTCTCCAGCAACTCGGACCTGCCTGTGGTCCTGGCCCTGATCCTACAGAGGGCACAAAGCCTACCTAGAAAAGACAGGAGCCCTGCCTGGGCACTAACGTCCCTTGGAGGGATGGTCCTACTCAGAGGACTCCAGGGAAGCCATGGATCTTCCTGGAGCATGGAGTGGGGAGTTCTTAGAATAGGAGGCGAGGTGAGAGGGGACAAAGCCGGTGAGAGCCCTGGCAGTGACCGTCACCTGTCCACGGAAAGGGTGTAACAGAGTTATATTGCACAGGGTTGTTTAAGTGTCCAGACCCTGTGTCTGGCTCCCTCTGATCAGCCATAGTGATGAGGGGTGGTGTGGGGGAGATTCCTGGCAAACCCACCTGGCTGTGGAATGTCCTTCTACGAAGGCTCGTTGTCTGGGGGCTTGGTTCAAGAGAAGCAAGGTTAACATTGTAGGATTGTCACACTGTTTTCTCTGCACGTGTGTGCCCCCTTGCCTGACCTCTCTAGGGGCTTAGCTGTGCTCTTAGCTAGAGAGGGTCACCTTGAGTGGGAGTCAAGGTGACTAGAGTTCTGGATTTCCTCCAGGGAAAGGGAAAAGCCTGTGCAGCCTGGTGCAGAGAAAGTCGCAGGTGGGATGGGGCCTTGGCTTTCCCGAGAGTTCTCAACGGACCTCTCCCAGGATTCAGAGGAAGTCTCCTGAGACTCCAGGGAGCATCCCCTTCCAAGCAGGCAGGAAGGGTCGAGGGCATGGGGCTCAGCTGGGGAGTGCTTGAGACTGAAATATTTCTGGAGGAAGGGCCATGGTACAGTGCAGCCAGGCTGGGCCTGGCAGTGGCCCTCAGCCATGCAGGTGATAAAGTCACCAGCAGCAGCTTCAATCTTGTGTCCGATCCAGCTGCTGCCCGGCTGTCTTCTGGCCTCACATTCAAAGCGGACACTTTGGAATCTGGCTGGGGACTGCTAGTACATGCTTGGAACCAGGTTAAAGAGCAGATGACCTGGCACACAGGCCGCTGTGGGCATTCCGTTCAGGGCACATTAGCAATGCCATGAAGCCCCTCTGTGAACCAACCTGGGCCACTTCTGGTGAACCTTCTGGGTTCTCTCAGAGTGATGGGGCAGGGAAGGGAGCCCTAGGTGTGTGAGGTATAGGATAACACAACAGGGTGGACACAGATGAAAACAGTGTTCCCTTATTGGTTCATTCATTCATTCATTCATTCATTCATTCATTCATTCATAAGTGTCAGTCACTTCTCTAATATTAGAGATACAAGATTAGAGATACAAGAAAAATAATCTAATTTCTTCAATCTATGTAACCTATTCACTAGATCTGTCTGTCTGTCAGTCTATGGGAAGACGGGTAAGAGTTTCTGGGGTGCGTGGCACTGGTTCTTTGGGCTGTGCCCAAATTCAGGGTGAGAGTAAGGAGGTCATTTGTACAGAGTATGGGCTGTCAGAAGCCATTAGGTCTCTGTCAGGAGGACGTACCCAGGTGGTTCAGAGACCAGGCACAGGTCCCCGAGTCTTCAGAAGCCATGCTACACATTGGTGCGAGAGGGTATGCTAAGGGTAGGTAGACTTCCAGTGGTCTTCCGAGGCCCCTGAACCTGTCCCTGCTCTCCCCCGACCCTGCTCTAATGCCCTCATGCACCCTTCCCTCAGCCACCACCTCTACTCGCTCCGTCTCCACAGGCTTTGATCCATGTTTTGCTGGGACCTCCAACGTCTGTGGTCCTGGGACCTGTGTGAACCTCCCCGATGGATACCGATGTATCTGCAACCCTGGCTACCGGCTCCACCCCAGCCAGGACTACTGCACCGGTATTTACAGGGTGACCTGTACCTGCTGAGTGGTGGTGGGGGGGGCAAAGAGGAACAGGGTGTGGAGACTGAGTCAAGAGGCCAGGCTGCATAAGCTCCAAGTAAGGTACTGTGGCCCATGAGCTCAGGAAAGCCGTTGCTGTGGACACAGCTAACTAGACATTAATTTAGGCTGTGACCAGGCTGTGAGGGCCATCAGACTCTAGGAGAAAGGGTCCCCAGCCAGAACTAGCATCCCACCCACCCCTCTGGAAGTGGCCATGTTTCTGCCTGCAGAGCTGATCAAGGTCTCACCAGGGCTGACCCTTGAGGACAGGTTTGAAACCAAGATAAATCATCAGGTGTATCATCCCTCTCTGTTCAGTGTTTTTTGTGCAAAGGAGAAACCTTCACTGTGGGCTGGAGGGAGAGAGGAAATGATTGTGGAGCCACTGAGTTAGGGGACAATGGGCAGGGAGGGGACACTGACCACCACCCAAGGGCTCCTAAGAGGCCCTGGCAGGTTGGCCTGTGACTTTGGCCTTGGAGGCTTCCATCTCCACCTCTGCCTCCTCTGCTCCCTCTACCTTGTCCCTCCCATGCCACACAGCACCATCCTCTAGTGTGGGCAGTGTGCTGGCAGATGCCCAGAGAAAGGCACCCTGGCCTCCGTGACCCCCTTCCCTGCTTCCTTCCGGTCAGATGATAACGAGTGTCTGAGGAACCCCTGCTCAGGAAGAGGACGCTGTGTCAACAGTGTGGGCTCTTACTCCTGCCTTTGCTACCCCGGCTACTCACTGGCCACCCTGGGAGACACGCAGGAGTGCCAAGGTAAGCCAGACCTGCCTTGGGCCTGGGACGGCCATAGGACAACACCTCTTGGCTAGGCCCTACAGTGGGGTGGAGGAGGAGGCAGGCACGCAGAGTGTGGCCGCCGGGGAGTACCAGAGCCACGGGAAAGCAGACAGCACTCTGGCCTTGATCTGGGAGCAAGCTGAGCTTGTGCTGGGACCACAAGGAGGAAGAGGAATCCAGAAAATGGCAATATTTGCAAGGCCTCAAGGAATTGTGTGGTTGGAGCCAAGAAGAGGCCAGAGACTTGGCTGGTGATGGGGACCAAAAGCCAGGACTCAAGTGACAGGGGAGCCTTTCCTTTGGGGGGGATGAGGGTGAGCCAGGAGGATTGGAGCTTGGGCTCTCAGCAGACCGGGGGACATTTGGGAGAAGAGTTCTGGTCCCCAGCAGTGGGGACCCCTGCAGGCTTTGACCTTCCCCCAAGAAGGCCTA